CAGACATGGTGGCTGGACCTGCAACCCTAGAACAGGGGAGGCGGGGACAAAAAAGACAATGTGGGGAACAATTGAGGCAGAATTTAATCCTGACCTCCTCCACTCCACACATGCATGCACACATGAACACATACACCCCCCAAAACCCTCAGAACTCAAGGTGAGTGGTGTGTTACATGGTACAGTGTGGGAAAGAAGAGCTGCTGCGAACACCCAGCCGCCTCTGTCTGGCTTTGTGAGAGTCTGAAAAGGGCCACCTTTCTCCCGGTGGCCACAGCTTTGGGACCACCCCTCCAGCCCAGCCCCCAGCAGTTACCACCTGCAAGGCCCTCGCCCACAGGCTCCTACAGCTTTCCCTGTGACTCTGGACTGGCAATCTGGGTGGGAATCCTGTGAGAGGTCACAGTGCCTGCTCAAGGGTTGGCGCTGATTTCAGCAGTGAAGTTTCTTCGTACCCTTGCTAGCCATTGGCCTCTTTATAGCTCTGGCTGCCTTGCACTGAGCTAACCTTGTGGAGAAAGACAATCAAGAACAGAATCCCTGGAAGCTGATGGTGCATGACCATGGAGCACACTTAAACAAATGAACAACCACAGGCAAAATGAAAGTAAACAGTAGCGGATGTGAACCCGGACTGTGCTCGCTGGATAGTTTGCAGAGCTTATAAACAAAGAGTCCTCCCCCAAGGCAGAGCTGGGGCCTGGGTGCTGGCTGTCAATTAATCAGCTTCTAACTCTGTGACACATGACACAATGCATGTCCGTGGCCCAGTCACCACGGCCATCGGAAGAAGCTTAGCTCAGGCCCAGCTCTTCTCCTCCGAGGCTGAAATGAAAGGTCACCCCCCAGAAGAGCAGAGCTCACCCACCATTGCCTGTCGCGGACTAGCACCCCCAGTACAACCTAGCCTGTGAGCCTCAGGGCTGAGCACAATCGGGCACTCCCATCCATCCGTCCCTCTTTGGGACCATCACATCACCCAGCTGCTTCCCCAAGACAGGATTCATGCAGCACTTTCCCCGGGCCATTCTCATGGCAGCCACTCCCCCACAGGGGACCCGCAGCCCAGGATGTGGTGTGTGTAGTTGGTGCTCATTTAATACCTGCTGGGTGAGAAATGAGCCTGCTTGCTTAAAGACCAGCATTCACCCCAGCGCGTGGCCTTGCAAAGGTTCTGTCCGATAAGGGCGTGGGCCAAAGGGGAGCTGGGTCGGAAGACAGGTGTGGCTCTAGCCTCAGATCCCCCCTCACAAGTGTGCCTTTGTATTTACTATTCGATCTGGTGACCTCACCCCAAATCTCTTAGCCCACTGGGGCTAAGAGAAAGAGCCCCAGTGGTTCCTGTCGCCTCTAGAGAGGAGTCCCCCATGGAGAAGGCACAGCAGGGATGTGAGATGGCTCCTCAGACAGGGCACTCCCTGCCATGCCTGACCACCCGCGCTCAAATCCAGGACCCAGGTGGTGGGAGGTGGGAACCAACTCTTGCAAACTGTCCTCTGACCTACACATGTATGCACACACAGAGAGAGAGAGAGAGAGAGAGAGAGAGAGAGAGAGAGAGAGAGAGAGAGAGCATGATTTTAACAATGAAAAGAAGGCAGACAGTGCAGAACCCCCAGGGAGAAAAGCACTGTGGCTTACTCTCAGAAAGCCAGGCAGGGCAGCGGAGCACATAGGGAAGAGGAACGAGTGACCATAAAGTCAGAGAAAAAGGTCCCCTGGGCTGTACTCTCTGCAGGTGGGAAATGGAGATGAGGGTGCACACTGAGAACGACCTGGTAACAGAGGCCGGTGAGTGGCCTGAGACAGGGCAACAGCAACCGGACAGAGAGAGCCTGTGGGCTACAGGAGCTGATGCCATTATCTGCCTGAGGCATCGGCGTAGCGAGATTTTAAACAGATGCCCAGGCAAAGACAGCAAAATGCACCCGTGGCCTGCAGGCTGAGTGCTAAGGTCCCTGGAGACCACTGGACGGAGCATGTCTTTTTATTCTGCTGCCATGACATCTGGGACCTTGCTGACACTGGAGAGGATGTTCCCCCCAGAGCCAGCCAAGTTCTAAGCCATAAGTCACTGGACTGTATCCCTTCACACACAAAGCAGCCATGTTAGAACACACCAACTAGACTATACTTTTCTCAGGCTCTTCCATGCTGGGCCTCGGTCCACCTACCCTTACGGCCCCACAGCCAGGTACAAGGTATCTGGGGACAGCCATATCCAGGAGCCTAGCAAAAATATGCATACTGGCCAATCCCAAACATCCTGGCCTTGCTCGCCTTACCCAGGAAATGACAAGAAGGCCGCACTCCATGCCGCCCTTTGTTCTGCCTCCCATTGGCACCCTTGAGCAACCAGCCCCACATGGCCCTGCGTGACTGCATAACCCCCTCTTAGGAACTGAGAGCAACCAAGTCTCTAAAGTAGGAACTGTCTCCTGGCTTGCTAGCCTTACTAGGCCTTAATAATAATAAAACTTCATCTATAAATTTCGATGGTGTGTGACTTGTCACCGTTGTTTATTCTTCTGTTTCCACACACACACTTCAGTCCTGGCGTCTAGTAATCCTTAGAACACGGCAGAATTAGCTTAGATACTAATCCGTGGATGAATGAGTGGACCACGATGGGTGTATGAGTGATGGGCGGGTGAGTAGATGGATGCTGGAAGGATGGACAGAGGGTGGGTGATGGGTGGATGAACAGAAAGATGTTGGATGGATAGATGGAGGGGGGTGATGGGTGGGTGGGTGGATGTTTGATGGATGCATGGATGATGGGCAAGTGGGTTGGTCGGTGTATGGACTGGACAGACACAGGATAAAAGTGAGGGGCTGGATAGAAGCATTTCTTTGGGGCCCTACATTTTAATCTCATTGCAACTGCTTCTCTAGGTACCAGATTCTATAAGTACCTAAGATTCTGGTAGTCAAGAAGCAAAGAGAGAGGGAACGAGAGAGGGCACTTTTCCTCATATGGACAGTTTATGGACTCTCTTTGGTTTTCCCTTCATTCCATTTAGTTTCTTCTGACATAGACCCTGAACCCAGTGGTGTAAGAGGAAAGTCAGAGGGAGGCCTCCAGCCACTCTGGTCTCTGCCCTTGATGGGTTTTCTGAGAGTTGCTAGCCTGGCCCCTTGCATCCACGGTGATATAGAAGGTCCCCTGTATCCCCTGATCCCCTGCATAGCCGTGATCCCTGCATAGCCCTGATACCCTGCATGTCTCTGATCCCTGCATATCCTGATCCCCTGCATGTTTCTGATCCCCTGCATAGCCCTGATCCCTGCATACCCTGATCCCCTGCATACCCTTGATCCCCCCACCCCATCCCTCTGGCCAACCAAACAAAGGTAGACTGGAGGACCTGCATTGTTAACTTTACTCTTTAGAATGTGCTGATCCACTCTGCTCACAGTGACCATGTGGTTTTGGTAACAGGATGCTTAGGGTCATTCTCATTGTCATGGCAGAGAAGACACATTGGAGACGTGTGCCTCAGGGGTGTGCATGTCCTGGGTTCGTAGTTGTCAGCAGATACTCAGTGGTTGCTCTTTCTTCAGCAGGGAATCATTCCCCAAAGGGCACTCCTCCTCCAAGACCAAGAGGAAAGGACAGGAAGCAGCCAGCAGACTAGGGAGTCCAGATAGGGCAAGGTCATCAGAAGGTCATCATCAGGGAATCGGTGTTCATGCTTTATCAGAGATGTCAGGACACTATAATTCTTTTGGGGTTTGTATTTTTGAATATTTTTATTTAAGATTTGCTTTTATTTTATGTGTATGAGTGTTTTGCCTGCATGGATATATGTGCACCATGCGCTTGCAGTTCCCACAGAGGCCAGAAGAGGGCACTGGATCCCTTGCAACTGGAGTTACAAATAGTTGTAGGCTACCATGCAGATGTTAGGAACTGACCCCAGGTGTTTTGGGAGAGCCGCTAGGGCTCTTAACCACTGAACCACCTCTCCAGCTCTTGACTATCTCATGAGACAAATTCTCATTATGTATCCCTAGCTGGCCTGAACTTTATATGTTGACCAGGCTGACTTCGAACTCACTGAGATGGGCCCACCTCTGCCTCCCAAGAGCTGGGATTACAACATGCCTGCCCATCATATTTTAAAATGTACCTCACATTGTCTCTCAAGTGTCCTGGTTTAAGCAGTAAGTTGCACAGTCACCTCAATGGCAGGGGGTTTTGCGAACAATAAAGCCTGATTCCGGAAGGCCCATAGCGACAGAGGCTCATTGTGGGTACCAATGAGAGCTAGCAAGCATGCTAGAGACAGTCTAGCAACGGTGTTGAGCCCTGAAAGAGGTGTGGACACTAGCTGAAGGAAGCTGAGTCTGATCTGGGGCCCTGCTGGGCTCCACTGTAAAAGAGGGGTACCTGGTCATTCCCAGCCTCTCCACCCAGCTGCAAGCAGACTTCATATGTAGACCAGCCTGGCCTTGGGCTTGAACACATACAGACAGCACTTCTTTCCCCTCGTTGGAATGTCAAGCCAGAGTTCATAAATTCAGAAAGGCATTTTGAGAAGAAGGTACAGGGTTGATCTGTCTCTAGGTAGTCAAAGGGAAAGGGGGAACAACCCATCAACCCCAGGTCAGCACATCTTGGGCTGGAGTCCCACTGGAGACCACCACGAGCAGCCATCACCTCTGAACAATTTCTCTTTTGTTTTTTCCCTTGGCCGAGACAGTGTTTCTGTGAAAACGAACTTTAAATGTGTGTTGTGTGAAATGGCAGGATCAAGGGACCCCGTATGAGAAAATAACGGCCCTTTGCCAATGCTATCTCTCAACTCCTGTCAATCAATCCTTAGCAGCTGTCGGAGATTTGCTTTAGACATCTCTGAACTTCTCTCAAGAACTATTTAACCCCAACGCAATCAGCAAGCAATGCCCACCACTCCTGTGTTTGCCAAGAGAGTCTGTGGAGACACACAACCAAGGCCAGAGAGGCGGGATGAAGGCTCACAAAGCGGAAGTAGTGAAAGGCTTCACCTGTGGCTTCACAGGAAATTTAATTAGGATTAAAATGCTCTGAGTGTCCAGTGTTGGCGGAATCTCGTTTGTTTTGTGAACTGAAACTTCAAAGCTACTTTGTTTTTAATGGAAGATTAGTCATCATGCAAAAGTTACTGGTCAAACATGTAATAAAATACACATATCCCACGGGAAGGTCTGGCACACTTCAGTCCTCAAATGTGACAAGCGATGACAACCCTGCACAGTTCCAAGAGTCCATCCCTCTACTCCTCTGGCTCTCGGGGGCTCATGTGTTGTAAATTCTGGAAGCTCGTTTAGCTGCGGTTTGAGCATCGGGAGGATCTTCTTCCTCTTCCTCCGTCCTCTTGTGTTTCAAAAACAAGTCAGACTTCAAGAAGCGGCTGTAGCTGTCATACTTCATGAGATTGAAGATCTAAAGAGGAAAGAGAAAGAGTCTGAGGGCCACCACAAACTCAGACCTACCACAGGCCAAAGAGTAACACCCTCAAGCATGCGTGTGAGCACAGACACACACACACACACACACACACATAGACACACACGCACATATACACACAGAGACACACACATATACACACAGATGCATACACGCATGCACATACACACATGCACGTACATACACATAGACACAGACACACATATACACACAGACACATACACACAATATACACACAGATACACACACAGACACGACACACATACACACAGACACACGCACAAAGGCGCACACACACAACACATGCTAGTACAGGCCCCATGAAATCCCTCCGTAAGTAAAAGTACTTGCCATGCAAGTCTGATGACCTGACTTCCATCCCCAAGACCCACGGTGGAGAGAGAACTGACTTCCAAAAGTTGTCCTCCGACCCCCACACACATGCCCACACTGACACACACATTGCACATACACACACTGGTAATAATAACAACAAGAACACTAGGGTAGGGCTGTGCTGGACAAGGCAAACACCCCGGACACTTTTGGCCATCACGTAACAGTCTCAATGGGCTCCAGAGAATCACATGCACAAATACATCTTTATTTTCCATGGAAGTACAGATGCACACAGCCTGAGTCACGCCTTTGCCTCAAATGGCCCTTTAAGAATCTTCACTGGCCATGTATGGTGGCACACGCCACCACTCAGGAGTTCAAGCTCAGCCTCGGCTACATAGTGAGTGGAATTCAGCCTGAGCTACATGAGACTTGTCTGGAAAACAAAAACTCTTTTTGAAGCCTCATATTAGGACCCAGAAGGTTTGGTGTTGGAGAGCTCAAACCTATTACCATGCCAAGACAAAGGGAGTATGTCTCATGGAGGGGAAGGGGGTGCTCGCACAGTCTGCATGAGGAGGGGCTGCAGGACCAGGTCTCAGTTGCAGAGAACACAGAAGCCAGCAGCAGAGCAGACCCCTGTCAGCCAGGCAGGCTGCAGTCTCTGGAACGCAGGGGTTCTGAGGTACGGTGGGGCTGAGTCCTTGGGACTAGACGGAGCGGCGCCTGCTGGCACCACACATGCACTGTGCGGAGGCCCCACATAGAAGCCCCCTGTCTCTGGGCCACACCCCCTGGACCCACTCCTGCTCACCTCCCCTCGCCCTGTAACATGAGAGGAAAAGGAAGGAAGGACACATTTTTCTGCTGGTGTAGACTCATCTTTTCAAGACATTCTCTCTCTCTCTCTCTCTCTCTCTCTCTCTCTCTCTCTCTCTCTCTCTCACACACACACACACACACACACACAGAGCCTCTCTCTCTCTCTGTGTATGTGTGTATGTGTGTGTGTGAGAGAGAGACTAGCTCTGTGATTCTGTGTGTGTGTGTGTGTGTGTGTGTGTGTGTGACTGGCTCTTACCTTGAGATTAAAGAGCTATAAGGCACACCAAGGTGCTTTCCTGTATAGCAGCTCAGACTTGACTGAATAGAAAGTTCCAGAATGCCACTCACTACCAGGCAGGGTTTCCAAGTGGGTGGTAAAATCCTGATGTCTTTTAAACCTGCCTTCTCCCTACACATGCAGGGGCTGAGGCCACGGGACATCCACTTGGAAGGTGGGAGGTGCCCAGGGAAGGGATAGGAACGTTTTGTCTTTCACCTTCACCTTCTCAGCAGGGCTGCGGGAGGACCAAATCACCCATTTTGCAGAGACCACACCCAGGAAACATTGGGCACATTGCGCTGCTCATAGCGTCCACCCCGTGCCCACCATTCCCTGGGCCATTCCATTCCTACCCAAGCTCTGCAGTGGTTTACCTATTTTGTGCCAATTTTGTAATTTTGAAGAGAGCATAACTAGCTAAGGTTTGGATACATCACTTTTTATGAAAATGTAACACCCCAGAAATCAAGACAATAATCAACAGCAGAGGGAGGAGGCTGGGGATAAGAAACCTCATTCTCCTCTCTAGGTTTCCCACAAATGTGCTAAGCAGGTATCAATGCCCTCCACCACTGGGCATCCTTCAGCTCTTCAGGTACATGGATCCCCAGAAGATCTAACAGGTGCCCGCCTGGCTCTGAGTGTGCCTGAGGGAGCCAGTTCTGTGAAGGCCTTTCCGGGCATGCAGTCCTATACCCCCGTCACTTCCCCCAGGTCCCCAGCAAACCCAGCCAGCACCAGTAGCAGGGGTAGGGCCTCTCCTCTGAAGTCTCTGTGGCTGGGAGAGGAGTATCCTGTTTGCCGTCTGAAGCTCACACTTCAGAGAGAAGAGAAAGGGGTGTGCTAGAGGCACCCAGGGTGTGCCGAGGTGAGAGGCCAAATCCGGAAGGCTGCTTTATTTGGGGATAGTACCCAACAGCCCCAGAGACTCTGCATTCCTCTGCTCCCTCGGCTCTGGGAGAGGCAGCTTAGCAATCAAGAGCACTTGTTGCTCTTGCAGAGGACCCACGTTCGATTCCCAGCACCCACATGGTAACTCACAATGGAATTACCACCTGTAACTCCAGTCCCAGGGGATCTGATGCCCTTTTCTGACTTCTCAGGACACCACGACACCGGGCATGCATGTGGTGCCTAGACATATAAGCAGGCAAAATATACATAGATATAAAATAATAAAATAAATCTTTCTGTGGGGATTTATTTTATTATTGTGGGTTGGGGGCAGGAGGAATGTGAGCACGGCGCACACATACGTAAGTCAGAGGACTCAGTGGGCAGCTTTTAGGGGTTGGTTCTCTTCTTCTACCACAGGATCCAAGCAGCAAACTTAGATTTGTGGACAAATGCTCTTACCTGCTGAGTCATCTTGCCGGCCCTGCCACAAATGATTTAACAAGAGCACAGGGCCATTCCCTGCAGTGGGCAGGTGTGAAATGCCCAGTCAGACCCGAAGTCCTTAGGCTGTGGTTTCCGGATGTCTGGCTTTCATCACCTCTGGGTGCTGGGGGAACTAGGAAGCAGCTGTGGGCAGCAGGCCCAGGAAGACTTCATCTTCCTGGATGTTCACAGCTCTGTGGCTCTGCAGGGAGTCCACGGGCCAGCTTCCCACGGCTACTCACAATGGCCCCCTGGCATGGGCATGAGAGTGTTGGGCCCCAAGAGTTTCCACAACGGAGCCCCTCATTTGTGAGATGCAGCAGGTTGACAGAAAACACGAGGAAGTTGACTCCAAATCCTTCACTGGCTACTGACCACAGCCCATCGCAGGACAAACGGCCGTGTCGGAGCCTAGCATGTTTCCCGTGTGTTCAGCAGACCGTCAAGTGAGGGCCAACATGGCTGAGAGATCTGGGGCCACACACTCCAGGCATCCGACAGAGCGCTCTCCCCCGAAACCATGACAATGCCCTGGGGACTGTGGTCTCACAGAGGAGGAAAACAGGTCTTAGGGCGAGGGCTTGGCAGGATGACGAGGGCTGCTCAGCTCTGCCTGGCAAAACAGAACCATGGACAACTTTCCCTCAGAGTTCCAGAGGCCAGAATCTGAGGTCAAGCTACCAGCAGGCTGACTTCTTCCAGGGCCTCTCTCTGTGTGTCTCATGGCTGTCCCCCATGTATGCCCTAAGAGAACACCCATCAGGGGCCAGCAAGATGGCTCAGCAGGTGAGCGGGCTTGCCACGAGGGCCTGGGAACCTGAGTTTGATTTCCATCATTCACATCACTGTGGGAGGAGAGAACCAGCTCCTCAAAGTTGTCCTCTGACCTCCACACGCATGTTGTCACACACATAAGCATAACCCCTTAAAACAACCAAACACTTGTCGCTTCGGATCAGGGCCCACCGGTGTGACCTGATTTAACTTAATTACCCTGTCTCCAGACACAGTCACATCCTGGAGGGCTGTAAGGGAGGATTCCAGCACGGGATGTCGGACAGGTGTAGAAAGGAGGAAGCCATCTGACGAGAGTGACAGAGACAGAGGTGACAGGGTCATAGCCTACAGACTCCAAGGATGACAAGGAACTGACCAGAAGCTGGAAGGGGAAGGCAAGTTCGTCTTCTAGAGCCTTCCTCAGGAGCCCAGACCCTGTCCACAGATGGTTCTAGGCTCCTAGTCTAGTTGTGCAAGAAGTTTTTGCTGTTTAAAAGCATGAGATCGGCAGTTAGTACGACACCAGGAAATGGCTACCACGTGAACTCCCTCGCGGTCCTGAAGACAGCAGATCAAGGCCAAGGAGCTTCATCCCCAGCAGAGACGAGCTGGGCCCCAGAACCCCAGTTAGTTCTATGAAGCCAGAGCTCTGACCAGGAAAGCCAACCCTACCGGCACAGCCAACCCGGACCTAAACAATGTGGTCAGAATTCTAGACAACTCAGACAGGGGAAGGAAGAGGTGGAAGTGGCCTCCGAGCACAGCCCAGGAGTGATTTGTCACCAGTGGGCAAGGCAGAAACTGTGAGCAGGCAGCTGGGCTGCTGCGGGGATTTTTTTTTCCGAGACAGATGTGGCTTAGCAAGGCTTTCTGGTCTTCAGGCCCCACACCTGCACGCCTGTGCTATAAACTGTTTAGCCCCCGGTTGCCTGGGATTCCCTGCTACGTCCTGCTCCTGGGCAACTGTGCCCTGCCCATTGCCTTCCAGTGCAGCATCCCTGTATTACCCAGATGCCCACCATGCCTCCTCAAGTTCCGAATGGAGCTTCAAGGAGGAAAAAAACAAAAAACAAAAAACAAAAAACAAAACGGCCTTGTAGTTCCCAACATGCTCTTCTAGGGGAGGAACCCGCCAGCTCTCAGCCTCTGAGCAGTGGTTCCAGGTTAATCTGCTGCCTCCATCCACTGCATTTTGACCTGATAAATATTTGATCACCTCAAAATCAAGTGCATGAGAAGGGCTAAAGGAAATACGTACCCTGCTTCCAGGTCACTTCACATAAGGAGGGAAAAACAAAATCTTTCAATGTAACATGAAGTTTGCTAAAGGGATTTTGCTGCGCATTCTCCCTCCTTCCCTCCCTCCCCTTCATCC